GGTTGAGAAGCATCTATGGATGCAAGCCAGCGTTTTGCTCGCTTTACTAGCTGCAGCATCACATTGAAGGCTCATGTTCATCTTGTGGTCAATCATGACCCCCAAGTCCCTTTCATTTTTAGCGGTAACCAGTGTAGCACTGCTGAGCCTATAAGCATGCTGCAGGTTTTTCCTCCCAAGGTGGAGAACCTTATATTTTTTGGTGTTGAAAACCATCAGGTTCTCATCTGCCCATTTCATGAGCCTGTCAAGATCTGCCTGGATCATCTTCAGGTGTGGACGCTTTACCCCAGAGTATGGTGTCGTCGGCAAACTTGGCCAGTCCTCTTCTGACACCAGTGTCCACGTCGTTGATGAAGATGTTAAATAGTGCAGGCCCTAGGACAGAGCCTTGAGGGACCCCACTGGTGACCACATACCAAAACAATTGGCTCCCATCAACCACCACCCTCTGGGTCCTACTGCAGAGCCAATTCCCCAGCCAGCAGATTGTGGTGAGGTTGAGGCCTCAGTTAGCCAGTTTAGCCAAGAGGTGATCATGGGATACCAGATCAAAGGCTTTTTTTTAAAAAGTCAAGATATACAACATCAATCTATTCTCCTTTGTCCAGGTGATAGGTCACCTGGCGTAGAAGGAAATGAGATTGGTCAAGCAAGACCTACCCGCAACAAACAAACAAACAAACAAACCTACCCATGCTGGGTATCTCTCAGGATATTGCCTTCAGTTAGTCTGTTAAGGATGGCCTCTTTGATAATCTTTTCCAAGACCTTCCCCAGAATAGAGGTCAGGCTGATGGGCCTGTAGTTTGCCGGATCTACTTTCCTCCCTTTCTTGAAGATAGGCACCACATTGGCCCTCTTCCAGTCTTTGGGCACTTCACCAGAGCGCCAAGAGGTGTCAAAGATCCGTGCCAGGGGCTGAGCTATGATGCTTGCCAGCTCCTTGAGTAACCGTGGGTGTAACCCGTCAGGGCCAGCTGACTTGAAGGTATCCAGCCTGTCAAGGTGTTCCTTCACAAGATCAGCTTCAATGGAGGGCAAGGAATCTCCCTCACTCGGGCCTGCCTGACCCACAGTGGGCAGGGGCGTCCTGTGGGACTGGTAAAAAAAAAACAAAACTGACGCGAAGTACCCACTTGGCAAGTTCACTTTTTCCTGGGCATTGGTTGTCAGTTGTCCCATCTGGTTTAGCAAGGGTCCAGTGTTGCCCTTGCTTTTCCTCTGGCTCCCCGCATATCTAAAATAGGACTTTTTATTGTCCTTGATATTTGTAGCTAGCTGGAGTTCCATCGCAGCCTTGGCTTTTCTGGTTTGCTCTCTGCAGGTCTGGACCAGAGCAGAGAGAGTATTCCTCCTTGGTGGTGGTTCCAGTCCTCTATCCTTTGTAGGTCTTCCTTCTAAGATGCAGGAGGTCTGCCAGTTCCCTGGAGAGCCAAGGGGGCTGCTGTGCCCTTTCGCTGCCTTTCCTTTGAGACGGGATGGACTTCGCTTGCGCATCCATGATTGCTTCCTTGAGGAGCAACCACTCGTCCTGAACTCCCCTCTTCTTTGGGTTGTGGTCCTTTAGGGCCTCTCTGACAAGCCTCCTTAGCTTGTCAAAGTCAGCTTTCCTGAAGTCGAGAACTTCTGTATTACTGACTGACTTACCAGCTTTACGGCAGATGGTGAAGGTGATCAGCTCATGGTCACTGTCACCCAGCTTCCCTTGGATCGTTAGTTCGCTGATTAGGTCGTCCCCAGCTGCCAGAACGAGGTCAAGCAGTGCTTTACCTCTCGTCGGCCTGTAGACTTCCTGCGTCAGATAGAGGTCATCCATGCTTGAGAGAAAGCTTTGCAACTGCTTGGATTTGGCTGAGCGCTCCTCCCACGAGATGTCTGGGTAGTTAAAGTCTCCCATGACAACCATACACCGGGAGCGTGCGGCCTCAGCCAATTCCCGGGTGAACTCCTGGTCAAGGTCTTGACCCTGGGTAGGGGGTCTGTAGTAGACTCCCACCATAGTATCCCCTGTGCCGTGTTCCCCACAGATTTTAACCCAGAGGGTCTCAAGTCATCCACCATGGGTGCCAATGTTGGCTTGTAGGGACACGTAGCTTTCCTTGACATAGAGACCTACGCCCCCACCCCTTTTGTCCACTCAATCTCTCCTGTACAGGGTATAGCCGTCTATATCTGTGGCCCAGTCATGGGTGGAGTCCTACCAGGTCTCTGTTATCCCAGTGACATCATAGTTATTTGCATTTAGCATGAGAACAAGTTCATCCTGTTTATTACCCAAGCTCCTGGCATTTGTGTATAGGCACACAAGTGTCCCCATGGGGGCCCTTGCCTTGCCTACATTTTGTTTTGGGGCTGGGGCGGGATCCCTTAATTGCCTTGGTTTGCTGGCTTTGCCAGGGTTGTTCTGCAGGCCAGCAGTGGCAGTAGTCCCCCCATCCCCTGGCGGGCTTAAAGCCCAGTGGAGCAGGTCAGCCTGTCTTGCTGAGCAGAGCCTCCTCCCCAGCAGAGAGAGGTGAAGGCTGTCCCTTCCCAGCAGCTTGCTGCCTCTCTCTCCAAAGAGCAGACTATGGTCATGGAAGCCAAAGCCTTCCCGATGACACCAGCGCTGTAGTCTTTGGTTGACTACCTGGATCCTCCTCCCCCTCCTCAGCCCATAGCCCGAGACTGGGAGGATCAAAGAAAACACCACCTGCACCCCCAGACCCTTAAGCCCCGCACCCAAATCCCTGTAGCTCCTCATGACCCGGCTGGGAGCGCTTCGAGCCACGTCATTGGTGCCCACATGGATGAGGAGCATAGGGTGGTGGTCAGTGGGCTGGAGGAGTTTAGAGATCTTCTCCGCAATGTCTTGGATTCTGGCTCCCAGGAAGCAGCAGACTTCCTGGGGTAAGGGGTCGGGGCAGCAGATTACCCCCTCAGTCCCCCTCTGGATGGAGTCTCCCACAACAAACACTTTGCTGGTGAGTGTGGGGCTTTTTTTGTTCTTAAAGAGCTGGGAGCTGGGGCTGAGGGAGTGGGCAGGGGAGGAGGGCTTGTGGCAGAGCTCCTCACACAGCGCAGGACAATGGGGGGCAGCGGGCCACCTGGCAGGAGCCAGTGAGTGCGGGACTACTATTTTTTTTTTTAAGAGCTCGGACGCTGGGGTCAGGCAGGGCAGCCATTGATGGGGCTGGGACAGCGGGCGGGAGTCAGGGGACGCTTACGGGGGCTGGGGGAGCAGGCAGGAGATAGGGCAGGGTTGGGCAAAATGTAGCCCACGGGGCACATGCGGCCTGCCAGGCCATTCTATCTGGCCTGCAGGGCCCCTAAAAAATTTAGGAAATTAATATTCATCTGCCCTGGGCTGCCTGTTATGTGGCCCTCGATGGCTTGCCAAGACTCAGTAAGGGCCCTCCGCCCAAAATAATTGCCCGCCCCTAGGATAGGGCCTGGGTGGGGGGGTCCCCCCATGTCCCCCTGCTACTTACCAGCACGGTGTCCGGGTCCAGCTCCCTGTGGCGGTGAGTGGAGACTGCCCGAATCTCTGAAGTTCTCCGAATCTTTTCCGAATAGATTCGGACCTTTTTATTGGTCTCCCAATTTGATTTGGATTCAGAGATTGAGCCGCTGAATTGGGCCGAATCTCCTTCAAATTGAATTAGTACCTGAAGCTTCACACAGCCCTATTGTATAGTCTACCCTCAAGGAGGGGAAAACCATGCACTCTTATGGAGAGATGCTAAGTGGTCAAGAGCTTTTAGAATTTACATCTTGTTGGCCAGAGGAAAGACAAAAGTGATCCCAGTGAATTGTGGTGATACTAGATTACAAGAGATAAATGTGAGGGAAGAAGCCAAAAGCCCAAGGAGGAGGTGAGAGTGATTAGCAGCTTTGGCTATAACTGCAAGTCCATGCAGTTATTTCATGTGTGTAGATTATTAGATATATACACTTCTTAAATTTGCAAGATATTTAAAGTATCTTTATTACTACTTTGTTTTAGAAATAACAAAAATCAGTCCATTATAGTCAGTGGAGAATCAGGAGCTGGAAAGACTGTGTCTGCTCGGTATGCTATGAGATATTTTGCCATGGTCAGTAAGTCAAGCAGCAATGCACATGTTGAGGATAAAGTATTGGCTTCCAACCCAATAACAGAGGTAAAATTAAGAATGTATTTGTAAAGGATTTTTATATTTGTTAAGGGGAGTATCTTGAATACTGGTGAACACCTGTCACTGAAGGCATTACCCATTCCAGAAGTTCTAGTAAATTGTAGCAAGCTATATAAGGCCTGGATTTTCAGCTGGTTAGTGTAGTTCAAAATATGTATGCCCTTTTTTCTGAATCACAGGTTTGTTTAATTTTCTTATGTGCATAAATCCTGGATTATAACATATACTTAGCAAAAATGTGTAGAGTCTATATATAGTTCCTCCAGTTCCATGTTTCCCTTTACCATCTTTTAAAGAAAATAAATTCCTTCAGATCCGGCCTGTCATTGGCAAGCTCCAGTCTAAATCACTAGTCATATTTGTGAAGAGTTGAGTACTTGCATCTCTACTTAACTTCTGTGAGAGATTAGAAATCTCTATGCTTTTTAAAAAACAGACCACTATTAAGTTTCTGACTATTATAACCCTAATTTAAACTGTTTATCTGTTAACGTATATATTAAAAATAAATTATCAAATTGAGATATGCCATGTAAAGAACAAAAGAACTTTTAATAAATTAACAGATTCTGTTATGTTGCAGTTCTGAAGGTTTTGTTTTGTCATTTAATTTGAATCAGTAGAGAAGATTCTGGGATTTAGGTTATGGGAGAGGAAACAGGCATGGTTTTGTAGTTGTGGATAGAAAAAGGTTGAAAGCCCTGTACTAGGTATGTATATTTTATCTAATGTTCAGAATATACTGTGCAACTTTTAATATGTGCATTTTACCTTGAGACTAATTTTCAAACTTGAGCCTCACAAAGTAACTCCAGTATTTCACATTTTTGTGCTTCCAGAGATCATGGGGCACTGAAATCTTTGGCCATCTAAGTCATGGTTTAAGAGAGGTGTCCCCACGTGAAAGTCTGAATGATTCCTTTGAAACAAACTGTTTGTTAAAGAGATTATACTTTTTGTAGGCTGTGGGTAATGCAAAAACAACACGCAATGACAACAGTAGTCGGTTTGGGAAGTACACCGAAATCAGCTTTGATCGGAGGCATCAGATCATTGGAGCAAATATGAGGACATACCTACTTGAGAAATCCAGGGTTGTTTTTCAAGTGAGTAAAATTAATTCCAAAAGCCAACTGCAATGAAATCACTGCAATACAATTCTCTAACTTTATTAGAATTTTCCTAAGGTTGTAAGGTGATATTTTGCATAACATGTATTAATTTTATTCAGCTTTTAACTTCATCTGGAATACAAGACCAGCCTTAATTAGGCATGTATCTCCCCATCTGCTTATACTACATAGAGTCTGACAGAAGACACTGGTCTCTTAGAATTGTACACATGATGCCATTAACTTGATGAAAATATTACTTTGTATGGCTTAATGGCATCACAGTGTACATGTGCAAGACTTTTGTGCGTTTTAAATGATTCTGCATCATTGCAAACCAGAATACATCCAGATGTAGTTCAGTGTGCGCTGTTGTTGCAATGATGCAGTAGGGCTGTGTGAAGCTTCGGTCCCCAATTTGATTCGGCGGAGATTTGGCCTGATTCGGTGGCCGAATCTCCAAATCGAATCAGGAAACCCTTGAATCTGAATTGAAATCGGAACCCTCCGAATCGATTCAGAGAGATTCAGAAAGATTTGGCGATTTGGACATAAACACAACTTTAAATGTTTTTTCTACATACCTCTAGGTAGCAGGCAGCTCATGAATACTGCAATACTGGGGTGCATGGAGTGTCCTTCAGGAGTGCCAGGGGCTCCCCAGCACACTCAGCAGCAGACCTGAAAGTGGACCAGAAGCACTTCTGGTCCACTTCCAGGTCCGCTAGGGAACACGCAGGGGGGCCCCCCTGCGTCCCCCTGGCTCAGCAACTGGTGCCTGTTGGGTCTAGGGGGGGCATCTGGGGTCCCCCCTGGCCAATTGCTGAGCTGGGAGGGCGCAGGGGGCTGAGCGGCCCCTGAGCTATGGGGGGGCCCCCGTTCTTTCCATGGTGACGGCGCTCCCCAGGGCCACCCAGGCAGGCTGCTGGCAGGCCAGGTGCTGCCCCAACTTGGGGTCAGGGAAGAGTTGGATTGAGCCAAGTACTGCCTCCAAGCTGGGGCAGCACCCAGCCCGCTAACATCCCATCCCAATACTGCGGGGTACCACCACTGCGGAGGAAAGCCACGGGGAGAGATGGGCTGGCTCCTCCAAAATAAAGGATCAGACCCTTCAGGTACCTGCTGAAGGCAGAAGCGGTAACAGTCCAGATCCTTTTTTTTTCCCAGTAAAGCCTGCCTGTGGCTGGGGGGGGG